GAAGAAGAACGGATGCTAGTACGCGCCCCCCAAACCCAAAAGCGAAAAGGTTCATTGTAGTTACGCTTAAGGAATTTAGTTAGGGTATACTCGTTTGGCACCAACAGGCTTTGATTCTTTTACGACCCTCACCCGCCAAGGCAGGTGCGCACTCTGCTAGTACTTGTGTGCTCACACCACTACACTGTGGGGGGTGCCCGAGCATGATGTATGTGCGCGTCTGTGCGTGTGTGGGACAGACGTTGTTGTCCGACGTAACAGCAGCAGCAGCAGGTATTCGTATTTCGTTATGCCGCTCTCGCTGACACCGGTGCGAGCCAACCTGGAGGCGCTTCCACACAAAACTCAAAAGCACAACTATTCGCAGACCTACGTCTGGGACGGCGCCGCTAGCGCTAGTCTATTCACAGGCCTTGATTGAGAAGAATCTTAAAATACGATTGGCCTCTCTCTCACAGCACGCTGGCACACGACAAAGACGCGGGCTGGCGCGGACTGGCACACACAATTTGAGAAGAAATATACATCGTATCGCGGCGCGCTAGTCTATGAGAGGCTCACAAAAAATTCACACACAAGCAAGAACATCCATCCCCGGCCGGGCCCCCCAAGGTCACGCAAGGGCCAGAGAGAGAGTCGACGACCGTCGCCTCGGACTGGCTCGCGAACGAGCTGGCCGAGCACGGAGAGATTGATGCGGCATGCCGCGACAAATATGTCATGCACCTGATGACGGCCGCCGGCGCCTCGGCGCCGGCCGACGCCGTGTTCAGGTTCACGGCTGGCGAGGCGATGCAGACCGAGGACGACGACGAGGACACCGACCGCTCCGAGGAGGGGGGGGTGTCCGACTTGTAGCTGGCCTCACCCATATCTTACCCTCTGCCCCCCCCTCCTGCTACCCCCCAGGCTAGATGTAGTCACAGATAGCCCCACACGGCCCCTTACCCCTTCACCCTCGCCTCGCTGCTTGGTGTTTCTGAACACGTAGACGACCACGCTGTGGGGGTTGTGTTATAGGAGTAGGAGTGGGGTGCAGGTTGTGCTCACCCACGGCACCGGGCCGGTGCTTGCACTTTGAATGCCGTGGGGCTCCTGCCCGTGTCCCGGGCGTGGAGATGCGAGGGTCGCCCCCCCTTGCCCCACCACTTTGTGTGTGTGGAGACGTTTACCTTACCTTACCTTACCTTAGAGAGAGAGTCGCGCGGGCACGCGGGCGGCGAGACCTCAAGCAGACGGGTGTGCCTTGCGGTGCTTTGTTCACTCATTTTAACGCCGATTTACACGCGGGTGTTGATGCGCAATCAAAGAATGACATTTTATTCGACATAGAGCTTGGACAACATGGTTTTTGCCGTGTCTGCATGTCTGGAACTGCAAATCTTACAGAGTCTCGCGAACCGAGAGAGTGGGAACAGCCTCGAAGCAGCTGCGTCTCTCACAGTCAGTGTCTAGCTAGTCCCAAAATCTCAATACACCGGGTCACGGAAGGATATTAGAGCCTCTTCGTTGTTGACACCGACTGGTGATGCATGTGTGTGTGTGTGTTTGGTGTGTATGTGCGTTGGCTGGGGGGATGTCTCTACTTCTCGGCATTTTCGATCACCTCTCCAAGATCGGCGGCGAGGGTGAGCATCTCCTCATTGTCTGCGTCGTTCTCCAGCTTCGCCATCACCTCCGCGAGGCGCGCCTTGAGCGCCGTCACGACCTCGCCCTTATGCGCCGTCTGCTGTGCGTTGCCTGGATCAGCAACCAGCGCTGCCTGGATCGTCTCGAGCTGCGCACGCAACTCTTCTGTCGTTTTCGGCTTGGGCTTGGCTGGCGGCAGGCACGTGTGATCTCGAGCAATCTCGAGCAATCTCGGGCGACCTCGGGCGACCTCGGGCGACCTCATGAGAGCTCGGGCGAGAGTACAGACT